CGGCGGCCTACAGCATCCTTTCTTGATCAAAACTCTTCAGAGTATAGGGATAGAGGGTACATACTTCAATATCATAAAAGCCATCTATGAAAAACCTACAGCGAATATCATTCTCAATGGGGAAAAGCTGGGAGCTTTTCCCCTAAGGTCAGGAACGCGGCAGGGATGTCCACTATCACCACTGCTATTCAACATAGTATTAGAAGTCCTAGCCACAGGGTGCCTGAGTGGCTCAGTTGGTTAAGCGGCTGCCTTCGGCTCAGGTCATGATCCTGGAGTCCTGGGATTGAGTCCCACATCGGGCTCCCTGCTCAGCAGGGAGTGTGCTTCACCCTCTGACCCTCCCTCCTCTCATGCTCTCTCTATCTCATTCTCTCTCTCAAATAAATAAATAAATAAATTAAGAAGAAAGTAGTCCTAGCCACAGCAATCAGACAAGAAAAAGAAATCAAAGGCATCCAAATCGGCAAAGAAGAAGTCAAACTCTCACTCTTTGCAGATGATATGATACTGTATGTGGAAAACCGAAAAGACTCCACCCCAAAACTGCTAGAACTCATACAGGAATTCAGTAAAGTGGCAGGATATAAAATCAATGCACAGAAATCAGTGGCATTCCTATACACCACCAACAAGACAGAAGAGAGACAAATCAAGGAGTTGATCCCATTTACAATTGCACCCAAAACCATAAGATACCTAGGAATAAACTTAACCGAAGAAGCAAAGGATCTGTACTCAGAAAACTATAAAATACTCATGAAAGAATTGAAGAAGACACAAAGAAATGGAAAAACGTTCCATGCTCATGGATTGGAAGAACCAACATTGTGAAGATGTCAATGCTACCTAGAGCAGTCTACACATTCAATGCAATCCCCATCAAAATACCATTGCCTCCACTTTTTTCAAAGAAATGGAACAAATAATCCTAAAATTTGTATGGAACCAGAAGAGACCCCGAATAGCAGAGGAATGTTGAAAAAGAAAAGCAAAGCTGGCGGCATCACAATTCCGGACTTCCAGCTCTATTACAAAGCTGTCATCATCAAGACAGTATGGTACTGGCACAAAAACACACACATAGATCAATGGAACAGAATAGAGAGCCCAGAAATGGACCCTCAACTCTATGGTCAACTCATCTTTGACAAAGCAGGAAAGAATGTCCAATGGAATAAAGACAGTCTCTTCAACAAATGGTGTTGGGAAAATTGGACAGCCACATGCAGAAGAATGAAACTGGACCATTTCCTTACACCACACACAAAAATAGACTCCAAATGGTTGAAAGACTTAAATGTGGGACAGGAGTCCATCCAAATCCTAAAGGAGAACACAGGTAGCAACCTCTTCGACCTCAGCCGCAGCAACTTCTTCCTAGAAACATCGCCAAAGGCAAGGGAAGCAAGGGCAAAAATGAACTATTGGGACTTCATCAAGATAAAAAGCTTTTGCACAGCAAAAGAAACAGTCCACAAAACCAAAAGACAATCGACAGAATGGGAGAAAATATTTGCAAATGACATATCAGATAAAGGGCTAGTATCCAAAATCTATAAAGAACTTATTAAACTCAGCACCCAAAGAACAAATAATCCAATCAAGAAATGGGCAGAAGACATGAACAGACATTTTTTCCAGAGAAGACATCCAAATGGCCAACAGACACATGAAAAAGTGCTCAACATCGCTCGGCATCAGGGAAATCCAAATCAAAACCTCAATGAGATACCACCTCACACCAGTCAGAATGGCTAGAATTAACAAGTCAGGAAACGACAGATGTTGGCGGGGATGCGGAGAAAGGGGAACCCTCCTACACTGTTGGTGGGAATGCAAGCTGGTGCAACCACTCTGGGAAACAGTATGGAGGTTCCTGAAACAGTTGAAAATAGAGCTACCCTATGATCCAGCAATTGCACTACTGGGTATTTACCCCAAAGATACAAATGTAGGGATCCGAAGGGGTACATGCACCCCGATGTTTATAGCAGCAATGTTCACAACAGCCAAACTGTGGAAAGAGCCAAGATGTCCATCGACAGATGAATGGATAAAGAAGAAGTGGTATATATACACAATGGAATATTATGCAGCTATCAAAAGGAATGAGATCTTGCCTTTTACAACAACATGGATGGAACTGGAGGGTGTTATGCTGAGTGAAATAAGTCAATCAGAGAAAGACATGTATCATATGACCTCGCTGATATGAGGAATTTTTAACCTCAGGAAACAAACTGAGGGTTGCTGGAATGGTGGGGGGTGGGAGGGATGGGGTGGCTGGGTGACAGACATTGGGGAGGGTATGTGCTACGGTGAGCGCTGTGAATTGTGCAAGACTGTTGAATCACAGATCTGTACCTCTGAAACAAATAATGCAATATATGTTAAAAAAAAAAAGGAAGAAGATAGCAGGAGGGGAAGAATGAAGGGGAGTAAGTCGGAGGGGGAGACGAACCATGAGAGACGATGGACTCTGAGAAACAAACTGAGGTTTCTAGAGGGGAGGAGGGTGGGGGGATGGGTTAGCCTGGTGATGGGTATTGAGGAGGGCACGTTCTGCATGGAGCACTGGGTGTTATGCACAATCAATGAATCATGGAACACTACATCAAAAAGTAATGATGTAATGTATGGTGATTAAAATAACAATAAAAAATTAAAAATAAATAAATAAATAAATAAATAAATAAATAAAATAAACTCTAGCACTTACAAACTTTTTGTCCTTAGGTAGTTTCCTTAACCGCTCTAGCCTCAGTTTCACAACTGTTAAGCAGGGATAGGAATGGTAATCACTTACAGTGTTATGAGACTGAAACTAGTTAATAATTTACATTGCTTAAAACGGGGCATGACACATAGTAAATAGCATAGAAATATTTCCTGAAAATATACTTTTCTCATATTGGCTAGTCATAATGCATCAACACTGTCTTTCCATCATTGCCTCACTTCCAAAATATGGAGAATTAGGAGTCAATCTAGAACTTATATTTTTTTAAGTCTTATTTTCTTTCCTAGATCCAAAATTGTACCATTTGGACCATTTGTTGACTAAATATCAGTGGTGTGAGACTTATATCAATTTTCTAATAACAAACTATGATAATGTGCTAGTCAACTGAGAGTGTGCCTATGTGTGTGTGTGTGTATGTGTGTGTGTGTGTGTCTTCAAGTGTTTCTGGGAAGTAAATCATTCAGCATTATCACTTTCAAATAGTAAAGACTACAGTTTACCCTAATAAAGTTAATCTGAGTTTTTGGGTACTAATGTTCTGGAATTAGAGAAAGATATGAAGTTTTCAAAATTAAATCCTCAGGAATTCAGGGATTTTATTAAGTTAGCATATGCTGGTGACTGGAAGATAATTTCAGTTTCTTCAGCATATGAAACTCTTAATAAGCGGTACATAATTGTCAAAAAGAAATCTTTACTTAGTGACTTAAATTTAACAAAATGTGCTTTTATTTCTCCACTCTATAAGGTTATGAATCACTGCATCATTTGGGTGCGTAGGTGACAGCTCTGACAGTTTGATGATACCCAAGGCAAATTTGCAGTTACTGTCAGTGAAGCAATCCATCAATAGATGTGGGTAACAGTGCTTACACCTATATAATTCTTGAGCCAGTGATCATGTAACCTTTGAATACACCACACAGAGAAAAACAGAGAATTGAGGAACTAGATGTTCTTTCCATAAAGAGCAACTGAATAAGGTAGAACACCTTTTAAAAATGAAGATAAACTGAAAGACAATGAGGAAGGCTCAACCCAGGAGGTATTGAAAAATGTGTTTGATTTGAGGTGATGTTTAGAGGCCATCCAGAGTAATAGAGAGGAAAGAGGACTGAGTCTCTAGAGTATATATGCGTTTTGTTATAACTAGTTCACCACCCCCCCAACAAAAAAGCAACACCTCACTTGGTGTTGAATCCCCAGTTGTAGCTGTAGTTCTGTGCTTTATGAGCCATTTGTCCCTAGCCAAGCTCCATGAATTCCCTGTGTCTCAATTACTGCATATATAAAATGATGGTAACAATGTCTTCCCTTGGGATTGTCAAGATTAAACGACCTAAGTATATGAACCATATAGCTCAGTGTTTGCCAATAATAGGGGCTGAAAAATTGTTGGCTTTTGTCTTTTAAACCTCTTCATCAATTAGAAGTTCCAAATGCAGAGTTTGGCAGTAGATAGGTTAAACATCATGGTTGAGGCAAACACTACAGTTCATTGAAAATAGCTAGCTCCTAATTCATCTCACTTCAGTAAATATTTCTTGACTCTCTGCTGCATGCTGAGCACTGAAGGAATAGAAAGAAGAATCAAAGATTGTTCCTCAGCTTCTGGGAATCACAATTCAAAATCAAGTAGAAATTAATGCAGTCTTATGATCCATTGAGAAATGTCTTGTAAGGTAAACGAACTGATGGTAAGCATGGATTCAGCATTCACACAAACTGACTGATTCAATGAAAACAGTACAGCCTTAAATCATCTTCCTTTTTCAATATTTATTTGTGGTCTTTACAGGAGCATTAATTAGCTTGGCAGTGTTTCCTAATTAGTACCTATTTTCTTTGTATAGTTACTTTTAGTCTATTTGGGCTGCTATAACCAGAATACCATAAACTAGTGGCTTATAAACCACATAAATGTACTTCTCACAGTTCTAGAATCTGAGAAGTCCAAGATCAAGGCTGTAGCAGATTCAATGTCTGGTGAGGGCCAGTTTCCTGGTTTATAGCCAACAGTTTTTTTTTCACTTTGTCCTCAGATGGTGGCAGAGTCAAAGGATTTCTCTGAGGTCCCTTTTATAACGGCACTAATCCCATTCTTGTGGGCTCTAACACCATGATCTATTCACCTCCTAAAGACCCACCTCTTAATACCATCACACTGGGTGTTAGGATTTCAACATATGAATTTTGTGAGGACAAAAATATTTAGTCCTTAATAGTAACTATTCTTTTTTTTCCCCCAAATTAGTTTGTGTGGCAGTGTGGAAGAACCACCACATGAGGACGGTAACCAACTACTTCATAGTCAACCTTTCTCTGGCTGATGTGCTCGTGACCATTACCTGCCTTCCAGCCACATTGGTGGTAGACATCACTGAGACCTGGTTCTTTGGACAGTCCCTCTGTAAAGTTATTCCATATTTACAGGTAATTGTTTTTCACACTTCTTTTTATCCAAACACAGAAGCTACTGAAAAGGTATTTTCAATTAAGGATTGAAAAGTATTTTCAGTTATAATCATCTGGTCAATTAATTAGTGAGCTAAGAGAGAAATATACCTGCTTCTGGAATTAGCAAACTTAAGAGAAGTAATACTTGATAATTTTTGGGTAAATAAGTTAAGTTCTGGGTAAAAAATAAAACAACAGAATCCTCAAGTCATCATTAGATGCTGAATAAACCTTTTATTTCTCTGATTTCAAATTTTCCCACTGTAAAGTAAGGAAATTGAACAAATAATTATTGAGGCTTTTCTAGTTCAAATAAGCAAGGTCTGTCTATTTTTATAAGTGGTTTTGTTTCACACTGAGAAATTAAAGCTATGTGATCAAAGCAAAGCAGTGAACAGATTTTAGTGTTGATTCTGAATCATACTACCAGGTTTGGAATCTCTGTTCTGCTATTTATTGAATGTATGCTATTGAGCCAAATACACAAGCTCTTTGTGATTCACTTATTAGAGGATAATAATTTTAATTGTAGCTAACTCCTATGGTTATGACATTTTCCTTAGCTAATCTATATAAAGTACGTGGCATAGTGATTACTCTCTGGAAGATGATGATCCTATAAAAATATAGTATATTCTCAATAAACATCAGTCATCATCATTCTCATTAACATCATTAGACATTTTATTGTTCTGTGTGAAAGTAGCTTTTCTACAGTGAATTGTCCTATAAGAAATTGAGAACAGATGCTTTCAGAGAATAATTTTGTTGTGGATATGCTGATAGTTCTAAATCTTTGAAAGTGAAATGTTTTTAAGCTAGTGGCCATAGCCACAGCCCTCAAAGAGATGGATTCTCTTTAGCAATTGGACAGTGAATGAGAATGCCATTCTCTGCTTGTCTTCCTGTAACCATCCCCCACCCCACATTCCCTACTCCATCCAGTCTCCCAGATGGTGAGCACAGTATTTGGAAGGGATGAAAATATGCTCCCAATAATGAAAAATTGGTGCAGGTAGAACAATTGGACATGCAAAAAAAAAAAAAATCTAGACACAGACCTTACACCCTTCACGAAAATTAACTCAGAATGTATTGTAGACCTGAGTATAAAATGTAAAACTATAAAACCCCTATAAGATAACAAAGAAGAAAACCTAGATGATCTTGGTTATATTGATGACTTTTTAGATACAACACCAAAGACATGTTCCTTGAAAGAAATAATTGATAAGCCAACTTCACTAAATTTAAAACCTTCTACTCTGTGAAAGACAAGAGAATGGAAAGACAAAGACCCGGGAGAAAATATTTTCCAAAGATACATATAATAAAGGACTGACATCCAAAACATACAAAGAACTCTTAAAAACTCAACAATAAGGAAACAAATAACTCAATAAAAAAATGGGCCAAAGACCTTAACAGGACTTCACCAAATAAGATATACAGATGGCAAAGAAGTGTATGAAAAGATGCTCCTCATCATATATCATCAGCAAAATGCAAATTAAAATAACAATGAAATACCACATTATACCTATTAGAATGGCCAGATTTTGGAACACTGACAACACCAAATGCTGGTGAGGATGTGGAGTAACAGGAGCTCTCATTTATTGCTGATGGCACAGCCACTTTGATACACACTCTGGGAGTTTTCTTATAAAACTATACATACTCCCTTCATATGATCCAACAGTTGCATTCCTTGGTATTTACCCAAAGGAGCTGAAAACTTATGTCTACACAAAAACTTGCATACAAATGTTTATAGCAGCTTTATTCACAACCAAAACTTAGATGCAACCAAGATGTCCTTCAGTAGGTGAATGGATAAATATACTGTGGTACATCCAGACAGTAGAATATTATTCAGCACTAAAATGAAATGAACTGTCAAGCCATGAAAAGACACGGGGGAACTTAAATGCTTATTACTAAGTAAAAGAAGCCCAAGCTGAGAAGGCTACATATTGTATGATTTCAATAATATGACATTCTGGAAAAGGCAAAACTAGAGAGACAGTAAAAAGATAAATGGTTGCCAGAAGTAGGAAGTGATAAGCACAGATTATGATAGTACAATGGTGGCTATATGTCATTATACATTTTTCTAAACACATAGAATGTACACCACTAAGAGTGAACCACAATATAAACTATGGACTTCTGATGATTATGATGTATCAATGTAGGTTCATCAATTGTAAGAGATATACCCCTCTGGTGGAGGGATGTTGATAATGGGAGAGACAGGGAGTATATGGGAAATCTCTGTACGTTCTCAGTTTTGCTGTGATTTTAAATGTATCCCCAAAGTAAAGTTTTAATAAAAAACAAAAGATGGAGGAGACACAAATAACCCATTGCTAGAAATTATATTGATTAAGCTTTTGGATATGAAGTGTTATGAAGAGATCTTTACCCCAATAATTCTTCAATAACCTCATAAGTAAAAGTGATAATTTTTAAGATTAGATTAGACATCATTGACAGTATAGAAAGTATAAAATGCCATGGACGTTATAAGCTTTTTGGCAAACATTAGCTATAAGTTTAGTTTGTGTCAGTCAGATGAAAACCATGAATGTGTTACAAAAATAAAATTCAGTAACTTTTTCTGTTTTGAGATAAATAGTACATTGAGCAACAGAGGAAAGTATCCTTATTTAAAAAAATCATTAAGAAATTGGTCTTATGGTTTTGCATGGAGACACTGGAGAAATTGCAAATAGCCCAGAATTCTAATATTTTACCATCTCTTGGTTTTAATAACCACCCAGGGGAAAATTTGAGGGATCATCTTAAGTTTCAAGATATAGGCAGTTGTCCAGATTCTTCTGTTGGCTAAGTGAGAATATTCTGTGCTCTCTCTACAAACCAGAAGATTCCCCAGTGAAGAGTGGGGTGATGAGGGAGGAGTGCATCACCCTGTAGTAGGTATAGTTCTGCTCTAAAGCACAATGATAACTTCTTATATACCAGGTATTCCATCCAGACTCTCCTATGAGCACTCAAAGACAGACTGGATGCAGTGGGTGTCCAGTGAGTGATGTAGGGCATGGGTCTCTCTTAAAGTTATTGACAATACAATTGCATTTAGCACAACTTATTAGCAAGTCCTACAGTGATGAAACATCTTCATTTCCCGAGAGATTTTGTTTGCTTCTCTATAAATAGTGTCCTGTCTAGTCAAGACCTCAGTTGATTCTCTCCTCCATAGGCCAAGGAAAACTACTGAGTAACCACAAGATCTGAGTCAGATGAAAAAAGACTAGATCCATTCATTACCTCATTCAGCATTTTCTTGATGAAAAGTTATAAATGCACAAAAAACTTGGGGCACTGGTAAAACTAGTATCTCCAAATTCTCTTAACATTTATTGCCCATTTTCCATAGAATTTCCCCAAATGGAATGAGCAATATCAATGGACAATAAGCCATTCATTCAAATTTGAAGTTGTTTTCCCTTAGTAGTGATATTCTGAAACTGATCGCTTTTGTCCCTGATATGAAACTTCTGTCCCACTGAATGCTTAAAAAATTATTACAAAAATGTTTATCTAGCCAGATTTTAAGGTTATTCGGTTGTACTTAAGATTTATTGGACATGCATTAATTTTCTATGACTTATATGCCATTTTTTCTTCTAAATACAATATAATACAACCTTTAGGTTTATGACTGATCTACAATAACACTTCACAAAATGCTCAAAAATCCTAAAAATCTCACAAATGTAATAAAGCTTAGCTGAATAATTCAAATGACCCTTTTGTATCTTTAATAATTCTATAAATCCAAGATCATTAACATTTACAGAATAATTAACATGAATTTCTTAGAAAATTATAACATCATTTTTTCTCTCACACTTATACGAGCAGTTGGCTACTTTTTCAGAGTGACTTTTTTTTTTTCAACTGCAGAAGAAGCTCTGCATGGGAAATGTCAGGAAAAGAAGAACAAAAAGCCGCCTGAAATGGAGGTGGTGGCTGGTGGGTGGTGGCTGGTGGGTGGTGGCTGGTGGGTGG